CCTAATAACAAAGTTGTTTACACAAAGTCTTCTATAAACAATAAATCCACTCAGACTCTTGTCTCCACGAAAAGCTTTTATTTGATTTAAAACGCGTAAAATACTAAAGTAGGTACTTTGAGTAGCACATTGACCAGTACATTAAATGGATCAACTTATTTGGAGAGCCAGAATATATTGACGCCTCAGATGGTAACATAAGGTTTACTTCTCATTGCACTATCGCCAGAAATTTTACCTACAAACTTAAGGAAACAACTTATCCTGTTTTTTTTTTGTAATTGTACGACAGCCGATGTGGCGCAGTGGTTAGTATGCCTGCCTGCCACGCAAAGGTTCCGGGTTCAATTCCCGGTGGGGTCACTCACAAAATTGATATTTATCACTTTGTGAATTTGTTCTCAGTCTGGTTAGGACATTGCAGGCTGTACCACCTGATTGTCCGCAAGTAAGATGGTTCCGTGCTTCGGATGGGCAAGTTAAGCCGTCGGTCCCGGTTAATGCTGTCTATGACGGCGGTCGTTACACAACCATGTCAGAGGCCTGCTACTTGCAGTAGGCGGTTGAAAAACTCTGACACCAGGGTTCATCGGGTCGTTGAACGACGAGGTGTCCCACACGAAAAGAGAAAGAGTAGGTATGTGATAAAAAAAAGGTGGTCCCTTTAAGTGGTTGGGTTGATGTGCTGGCGATGTATTGTCTCACATTAACACATGAACATTCTATTTCTATAGTTTCGATTTTCTTGTGATTGATGCCGACGAGCTGGACAAAAACTAAGTCATATGAGGCAATAAATGTAAATATTGCATAGGTAATGCATTTTTTTCTATTTTTATGTAATTGTATACGGGGTGTTAGGGACGGTGTAACGAAAACTTTGCAGGCGTGCTCAGACCATGAAACTGAACAACTTTTACTATGGAGCCAATGGTGGGAAACGAAAAAAAAATTCCGACCTCCCATACAAAGTGATCGTGAATTTTGTATGGGAGGTCGGAAATTTTTTTTCGTTTCCCACCATTGGCTCCATAGTAAAAGTTGTTCAGTTTCATGGTCTGATCATGCCTGCAAAGTTTTCGTTACACCGTCCCTAACACCCTGTATATTTGCTGCACTATTCCCGCTCTTACTTTTTCTATTTACTCCTTTGCCCAAGGTTGCCTGGTAGAAATTGCTACCTTAGCAATAAGGCCGCCAAAATTGTACTACTATTTCCTGTTATATGTTTCTGTTGTTATGTGTCTTGTGTGTGCAATAAAGTATATTTATGTTATGTTATGTTATATTGCTGTTATTACCGTATGAAAAAATCGAAACTTACATTTTGGTTTATTCAAGAGTGAACGGGAGAGGCTGTACCGTACCCATTGAAAAAGTAATTTATTTTCAATCAGTTGTTCCGTCGACAACGCGCGGCATTACTGCGGTGAAGCTGCTCTGTGTACATTTTACTGCAATTAAACTCACAATGTTACCATCCACTTAACAACGTTTCATTTATTTTTCCTTTTTTCTGCAATTTTACCGTCTACTTTACAAGCACTTTTTTGTACTGGTTTCATACAAAAGCAAACCGAATCAATAGTTTGCTCATAATATGTACGTAAATAGCATCTGTGATATGATATCACAGGTTCTTTACAAAGTTATATGTTGTCTACATCTAGATAATAAAGAACAATCGGGTATACAATAGGTCAACGCTATCATAAATATCTAGGTACACAAATGATTAAAAAAACAGTGTAAAAGACATCAACGCGCCTCATATTGCTACGAAGAAATAAAGTTTTGTCAAAGTACATGATTTTTACATCAGTAGATAAATAGATACTTTGCAAATTAATATACCTATATTATATAAAAAGAATATTGCCGTTGACAGATCAGGCGAGAAAAACACGCAACGTCTGTTTGTACGTAATTCATTCGATCTTTACCCTAATACGGTTTATGTCAAACATGGATGCATCTGTCAAACCCTTTGTCGTAAACCTTATTCCTATGATAATAAGGTGGAAAACAATAATACTGGCTCGCCTAATACTGCGTCGTAGAGTGTCATATTTAGAAAGGACACTCCACGATCTTAAGCTCTGAAAGTCTTAATTTGGTTATACACTTTTGTGTGGCACCTATTTTCAATGGGCATTCTATTTCATGTCATATTTCAATAATACAATAATATAGTTTATAGTCTGCCAATGCCACCTACTGCCCAATTCCATACAAACATTTTGTAATAAAAAAAAACTACGTCGATGTGAGCATCAAAATCATCCTCCTATTCTGTACTAAGTAGAATTGAGCTGTATGACAATAAACCTTTTAATAATTGGGCCGTTTATTTTTTTGCCCCTAGGGTCAACACACCTTGCCATAGAATATCTCCTACTAGAAATTACCTCGTAAATTTTCTGTCAGCTTATTTCGCAGAAGGACAATTTTTTTGTTAGATACCGACCAACAAAAGGTGTCTTCAAATCTCACGATAATAAAAATGTATCTTGGCTTACTGCTCAATGGGTGAATTTTTTAATTAAAACTTGTTAAAACTGAGAAAAGTTACAGTCACGGTTTGTTTTCAGTCACGGTTTGTTTTTAGTTAGTGATAATAATCACGGACCCTTAAAATTAGACAATAATAAAACTGATCTTCAAATTAAGAAAAAACTATGTTGAAAGAACTTCTTCATGTAGTTAGGTATCAAATTGCTAATTTTTCTAACGAATGGATCCATTTTTAAACCTTGTTTTTTTTAGTACCTATCCTTATTCCAATAAGAATAACATACGTGCGAATAAGAAACCCAGCAATAGGTATGTCTAGCCAGAACATAACAGACCACTGTGACTGTGACTAGAATGGTATTTACAATGTTTGATTTTCATTTGACAAACCCTATCATTCGCTTCGAGAACGAAAGCCTTAGGCCAAGAATACTGGACGGGGCTAGTAGTACTTGACTAAACAAGTAGGTACCTGCTATGCTTAGATACTTAACCTAGTAATCCTAAGATCTAGTTATTTGTCTTTAGTACATTCTTGGCAAATAACAGACACTTGGGTACCTACTTATTTCTATTTCTACCAACGACACTACAGGTACCTACTGGTATGGTCAGCTGCAATCTTGGTTAGATCGAGCTATCAAGTTACACTGATTTATGATTTGCTAAAGTACGGCCGCACCAAGTCATATTTGACAACTGTATATCCCGTACTAGAAGACATGTCAACAAAGAAAAATAAATCTTATGTCATAGTCATCAAGCATTAACATGATTTTGACAGCTGACAAATAGGACATACTTTAGCGGAGCTTTGACAGTTTTACCCGCAGCGCTGCAACAAATCCAAAGGAATTTTCCCGCCCTGTGTTGTATTATATATAAAGCTTCCTCTTGAATTTGAATTAGACTATCTATTACAAAAATCTGTTGTCTTGTTTAGGAGTTAGCAAATTACATGACAGACAGATAGAGAAATACAAAAAACTATTTGATTTGGTACTAAGTAGGTAGGTATATATGATGATTTATGATTGATATTCATGGGAAAGATAATTTGGAAGATCACAATACTTTGATCCCTTTATGTATCTCTAGATATTAGTACTGCCGAAAATACCTACAAGTTTTGCAAAACTTTACTTGTCGTAATTCTCGAACGGTCGCATTCTGAAACAAATAACGATAGCATGATTGGTACCGTCAGAAAGTTAAATTAGAAATGAACTCGCGACTTTCCCAACAATCGTCACAATTACAAACAAACAACTAACTAAATTTACATCTTTTTGCGACAAAATGAATGTTACGTAAATGTCTGTGTCTGAAAAACTTTTACTTCGTACAAATAAAGCTCTCGAACACTGTTAAAGAATGATTATACAAAGTTTTCCCTTCTTCTGCTTTATTTGTTGTTAGAAAATGAAATTTTATTGCAGACTAGAGGATTTTAACCTACGTTTTGCTTAAAATTTCCAAAAATAAGTGCTTACACGAAACCTAGGGCACAAACATTTCCAAACCCTATATTACAAGGGGTGACTTAGTCTGCCGAACTGGTAACGCAAATGTGCCGAAATTTCACACAATTTGCTCGGGAGTCATTTAATATTCATCGGATCAAATTATACAATACAAAACAACAAATAAAGCCAAAAGGAGGTCAAGGTACTTATGAAACTGAACAGCTTTCCCGATGGAACATGAGTCGAAATATGAAATTAGTAAATATATGTTTTTATATAGGATGAAATTTTACTAGTGACCGATAGCGAAAACGCAGAACCGGCTGGTGATAAGGAACATGTATTCGAAAAATGTATTGTGACCTCCCATGTTGCCTCCCATAGTAACGCGAATCAGCTAATCGACAATTTTGTATAGGAGGGCCATTTTTTTTTTCGTATTTCGACCTATGTTCCTTGGGGAAATTTGTTCCTTATCAATAGCCGATTTTTCGCTATCGGTCACTAGTAAAATATCACTCCATATTTCGACCCTAAACACCCAGTATTTCCTAAACTAGGTATACCTACTGATTAATTTGTTTATGCCTTAAACTGTGCACTAACTCGTTCAGATCGAATCACGCTGGTTACGGCGCTAGACATAACCTGATAATAACTCGTCTGGTCTAACGTGTTATCTGCAACTTTATAGACGCCTCTGCCCTCTGGTGTCATAAAATGTGCACATAGGAAACTGCTACCATAACGAAAATTGTACCTATATACAGATAGGTACAGATCTTATGCACGATACCGTGGTCACCCCTACTATAAACTATTCCCAACAAGTAACATGTTACGTCATAAAATTTATCTTTAGGAGATGAGAAAGTTTTTAAAAGTTGTTTTATTGCAGAAGATCTAACTGCCAAAGGAAAACTTCACTCTTAGCTAACCTTGCAATCATTTGTCTTGTCTGACTATCCGTAAAACACTTAGGCTATAAATGAAATGAAAAATGAGAAACTGAAAAATGTTAGCGTCGGCCGGGACTTAAACCCAGGACCGTGGGATACCGTCCCACTGCTCTGCCATCTGAGGTACCGGCGCGACCTATATGACTGATTCTAACGAAATTTTACACGTACAACGACATCCAGTAGTAGCTCAGTTAGTTTGCATTACAGGAGAAAATTCAAACCATATGATGAAGCTATTGCTTATAACAATGATTTTAATGCACTGCTATATTATTCTCATAAATTAAAGCAAGAAATTGTTTTAATTTTATCGTAGTCGGCCGGGACTAGAACAGGGGATCGTCGGGTACCGTCTCACTGATCTGCCAACTGATCCAACGGCCTATGGCCTATGTTAAAAAAGACACCAACGGCAGAAAAAGAAAATTATAAAGTAAACAGAAGCCTATACTGTCGTTTGGTTAGCGCTAAAGGAATGAGTTGCCACTTGGCTCGGTAATGTCTCATTTTGTGTGAAGAAAGGGAAATTAGGACACTTTCATGTGGTGCCTATGAAAAAAGCAAATACCTTCGGAGGAAATTCATTAAATATGACGTGCTGTTTAGAACATCGTACAGAAAACATTCATCAAACGAACTATGTACGAAAAACAAACATTATCGTTTTTCAGCATTGGCTGGAAAATATTTTCTTGATCTCCCACAGAAAGTCGCAAAGAAAAGCTGATCGTGAGTTTTGTAGGTCTGGTATAAGCAAAGTCGAAAAGTGAAATTTATTTTTTCATTGGTCCCGTAATGAAGATTATTCAGTACTTACGATGCCCAACGTTAACAACGTGTCCAATTTAATGCATTCCTCCGGTGTATACTATTGTGTATGTAATGTAAGTACCTTGTATGCTGTGTGAAAGTTGACTTTAATAAAATAAATAGGTAACTTCAGTACAAGTTCAGATACCATTTGGTTATTTATTGACAGAATCTCATTAAAAATCAAATTTCAGGTGCTACAACCCGAAAGTATAAATATTTTCACTCTTGATCGATATAATTCTTATTGGACAATGTTTCAGAAAATCATAATGAAGATGGACTTCCGCAAAGTAACGTCTGATAGGTACAATCAGTTATCATGTAGCTAGCTACGGGTATAATCCTTAAAGCATATTACTCTAAGCTCTAATCCCACCAACCATGCATCTTTTGATAAATTCTATACCTAACAAAACACTCGGTATGCGCTTTGTCAAAATTCCATATGCGTTAATTCCTTCGAGTCCCACAGGTTTCATTAGCATCTGGCCACAACTGCAGCAATCTTACATAACATTATAGACCGGCAGTTGGGACGCTAAATTACAGCTGTAACTATATCTACTCTGTTTAGCCGTGTGGTGCTGGCAGAGTAGAATAGCACCATCACTTCTCTTTCCGTGGATCGTAAGAGGCGACCAAAGGATAACCCCGACCCAAATAGCCAGAGCCAACCGTATGGTGGCGGTTAATCCACCAGAAAAGCATTCCCAAGGAGGGTTGACGTCTGGTAGGCGGCCGGTCGTAAAATTAAGCCAAATCGTTTGCAACACGATTTTGTGTTCAACAAAAAGTGTTGTGCCGACCCCAAGTAATTGGGATAAGGGCAGGAAGATGATGATGATATCTACCCTGTTCACAATAATTCATAACTCAATTATTTGCTATCACATGGCATCTTAGAATCTAAGCAATTTACAACAGTGTATCACATAATATGACGCCATTTTGAGGGCACTGCTGAGTCGATTGGTAAAATTACATAATCAATATAAAATCATATATATAAAAATTTGGTTTAATTCATATATAAGACAATGTTAAAGTAATACTAGTATTGCTTGATATAACTACGACAAAGAGACAGTAGAGCACCATATCAAACGCGTTCTTGCATTTGAATAAAAGAGAGAAAATTACGACCTACCATCACGTTTATGCGTCTAAGCGAAAGGACAAATAACAATTTGGTACTAGCGCGTTCACCTGAACAGAGTATATCGGCAATCTACAAAAAGAGCAGCATCTTTTAAAAACTGTCTAAAGCGCTGCCATACCTATGTTGTAATCTTTTTTCAACATAAGTAATATCTCTTCCCGTGAGTGCCACGAATCAGAGAATGAGCAGCAGCAGCAGTCACCTTGCACTGCACTCGCAAATCGTCAAAATGTGGTAGCATCCTCCAAATGGGAAAACCCTCTGTTCAGTAGTGATCTATTTCGACTGTTGGCGTGATGTAATTTTAATCATCATCATCATCAGTCTATCATTCTGTCAAGACCCTTTATCTCAGAAACGCGTTAAGATATCGAGTTGAAATTAAAACCGTATACTCAAGTCTATAAACGCTAGTAGTTGTGAAAAAATCGAGCACCTATCTTCAAGTTCAAAAAAAAGATATAGCCGTTTATGCAGTGAAAACGCGTGTTTTTTACCCTCTCAAGAGAATCAAAATTCAGAGGGTACTTCCCGCAGACCTAGAACAATGAAATTTGGCAAGTAGCTTCGTTTTGAAGTTAGAGTTAAGGAAAACTCTAAAAACTTTCATTTTCATAAATTTATGGTTATTATGGAGACCGAAAAAAAAATTTTGCTAGTTGTTCAAGTGGAGTATCATTCCAAAAAAATATAGGTTTACCAACCAGAATAACCTACAAATCTTAGTACTGAACCCTTGGTGGGCGAGTCTAACTCACACTTAGCCGGGTTTTTTTAATTATTTGCGTAAACAATAGATATGAGAAAAAAAATGTCTACGGCAACATGGAAGCTTATACAATTTGCTACATGTTTTACGTCATCAAAAACCTTGTACCTTTAGTCGTTCTTGGGTTAGGCTTCTGAAAAGGGGACGACCAAGGCGACCCTTTAAAAAAGCAAATAGGTATCTCGTAACAGAAACTATCAAATGATTTTGTTTCAATAGAACCTTCCCTTATTTTTAGTTGACCTATTCAACCATACTCCACTCAACAACACAGAAATTTGCCCGCTCTTATAAATTAATGCCCTGAATCTATTTCTGTAATAAACACCCACGCCCTCTATATTAAGTGGAGTACCTGGAGCTTGGAAGCTCACATATTACGTTATAAAAAATATTAAATATTATTATTATTATATCTGTGTGTGTTCATGTTTGTAACGAGTAAACTAAAAAATACCGTAATGCTACTTCTTACTGCGGATAAATAAGTGATTCTAACGGAAAAACGATTAGAAGCGAGTGAAACCTTAAGGCGGGTATATAGGGTGTAATTTTATTAGTGGCGGATCCGTTAAGGGTGTGTTCTGTCAATGAAAATGAACAACTTTCCCCAAGGAACATAGGTCGAAATATGAAAAAAAAATTGGCTCTCCTTTACAAATTGAACCGTCCGGCCAACACACTTAATATGGGAAGACAAAATTTTTTTTTCGTATTTCGACCTATGTTTCTTGGGGAAAGTTGTTCAGTTTCATTGACAGAACACACCCTTAACGGATACGCCACTAATAAAATTGCACCCTATATAGTATTGCTAAACTTCAACCACTCAGCTGCTGTACTACACGGAACTTTGGCCTGACATTCACGTCGAGGCGGTAATGAAGGAAAACAGTTCATTTTCAGAGTCAATTAGACCATGCGCCATAACTCGTGGGTCATAATTTTGTTCTCACGGGTCCGCGTCGCTAGGAACAAACGACATTTGCATTTCCAATGCAGAGTCAGGATCTGCAAGGCTGGCGGAAAATTATAGGATGTTTTTGGATAATAAAAGGAATGATTTGATTTGCGACTTCGATTAAAGCACTTACTTTTTAATGGATATGAGACATTCTATTATGTACTTAGATATTCCACGAAGACAAATAGGTATAACCCTGTTGTCAGTTATATTCGTCTTCCTTAACCTACTTGGTCTATTCACCCTATCGTCAATCAATACCTATTTTAAAGCTATAATAAGCCCGATAATAAAAAAAATGAAATAATGATACCTCATCGAACTGATTTACGAACAATGACATTGTCCAGTATTATATGCTAAATTGACCATGAGAGAACTCTGAATCATAATAAAGAAACCATGAATTACAGGTGTTAGAACGAATTTGCATCGTTCCTCTAACTACTACTACTACAGGTAGTACGTGAATGACTACGATAGACCTATTCTGTCAAATTAACAAGTCTATTTGTACTAGTGACTAGAGATGGGCCGAATATTCGGTTTATGTTCGGTATTCGACATGTTCGGTGAATTTTCCGAATAAAAACATATCCTTATCATATCGTTGTAAAACTGACAAGGAGTAAAGCAATTTCTTTTAAGCTGCTGTCGACGTTTCTAATGTAGGTAGATACTGTGTAAACGTAAGACCCCTTAGACAAGTTTACGAAATACTCGCTGATTTGCACCCACAGAGAACCAAAACGTCATTCGCGGTCCCCGATAGAGACGCCCTTTGAGCAATATAGCCTGCCAATTTGGTTTACCGAATTGCCATTCCCAGTGTTGCCACCAGCTTATATTTCTCGAACTTGACGTCCTTTTTTGACTCCCACGTGTTATTTGTAATTTTACCATTTTGTTTGTAAATCACCCTTACTCTAATACTTATGATACAATAAATATAACAACCGCAACAGTCCACTGCTAGACATTCCCTTATTAGGGGGGTATTTGCCATACTCACTACGCTTGGCAGGCGGATTGGCAAGCGCAGTTCAAGGTGATGTATTCACAGAAAATTTTGCTGCCCATTCTCTGGAACGACTTTTTAGTGTGACAGCTGACACCTGTCATGTAGATCTCGTTAAGGCCTACAACTTTCCCAAAGAAACTAATAGTTTAGCACGCATAGTTTTTGATTTAAACCACTTTTTAGTGTGACAGCTGACACCTGTCATGTAGATCTCGTTAAGGCCTACAACTTTCCCAAAGAAACTAATAGTCTAGCACGCAGAGTTTCTGATTTAAACGCCTTTTTAGTATGACAGCTGACACCTGTCATGTAGATCTTGTTAAGGCTTACAAATTTTCCAAAGAAACTAATAGTCTAGCATGCATAGTTTCCGATATAAACCACTTTTTTGTGTGACAGCTGAC